GAAAGGAATCTCCCTGCACAGAGGGTAGAGCTGGAGATCTCCATGTCCTGGGGTGGCTCCCAGGTCACCACTGCCCAGCATGTCTCTGTCTGCTGACAGGACTCTGCTTTCTTAACTCCTTAATGGAGTTCCTGGAGTTGGAGGGAAGCGCTTCCCACCAGAAACCCAATTGTATCGGTTTTTCTTCCATTTGAAACAAATGATCAAAGTGATAGCGTTTTCTATGTTACATGTCTGTCTCTGGTCACTTAAAAACAAAACAGCAGGGAGTCTCCCTGACAGCCCAGGAGAACAGGAAGGCAGCCCTGGGGTAACCTGTCAAGGTTCAGATCATGACCCCCAGCATCGGCCACGGCTGGGTGACATCCTCATTCCCCAGGGGACAGGTGATCCTTTCCTCACCCCACAGCTCAGACCCCAGGATCGGCCCCAATCCCCGTGTTCTGAGTTCCTCCTACTTCCCCTTTCCATACTGGTCTGTCCCCAGCCAGCTCCGAAGGAGGCCAGCCCTGTGGGACAGGGAGGGGTCCAGCCTGAGACCCGGCCTGAGCCGGGAGGGAGCGCTTGTCCTGCTCTGGCCCCTGTGTCGAGTCCCCTCTTACCCGGCAGGTGGTGACTCCCCATCCGCGGAGGCTCCCCCGCCAACACCGAGTCGGCACCGGTCTGTCCTCCAGGGCCCGGTGCAGGAGCACCCTTTGCCCCTGGGTGGCCTGACCCTGCTGACCACAGGTCACCTCCCTGACCACCAATACTCTGCCAACTGCCCCCTGAGTGACCAAGACAGCCCAGTCTAAATTCCCAACTACCCGGGGTGACCCAATAGTCCCGACTCCCCAAGACAGCGACCCTGAGACAAAGGCTTCGTCAGTTCCTCCGGCAACCAACTGCCGGGAGATTCTGATTGGCTGAGCCGCGTGTCCACGTGACCGACCGAAACCGGCCACCGGGGTCTCCCAACTGCCTGTCAAACGCACAGCCCTGTGGGGTCCCCAGAGAGGAAGAGCCGAGAAGGAGGCTGGGCCGGGGGCCAGGCGGCTTCCTCCATGGACCCTTTAATCCACCTCACTTTTTTATCTTTTTTTTTTTTTTCCAGCAGCTTTACTAAGTTATAATTAACACACTAGGTAATTCGCCCATTTAAAATGTGCACTGGGCCCGGCGCGGTGGCTCACGCCTGTAATCCCAGCACTTTGGGAGGCCAAGGGGGTGGGGTGGGGGGTGCGGGTCACCTGAGGTCATGAGTTCAAGACCAGCCTGGCCAACATGGCGACACTCTGTCTCTATTAAAGATACAAAAAATATCCAGGTAGTGGTGTGTGCTTGTAATCCCAGGTACTCGGGAGGCTGAGGCAGGAGAATCGCTTGAGCCTAGGAGATAGAAGTTGCCATGAACCAAAATTGCACCACTTCACTCCAGCCTGGGTGACAGAGTGAGACCCTGTCTCTAAAATAAAATGAAATAAAATAAAGAGAATATACACTGGTTCTTAGTATATTCACAGAATTGTGCAATCATCGGCACCGTCTAATATGAGAACATTTTCTATATATATATATGTAGAGAAAGGGGTCTTGCTATGTTGTCCAGTCTGGCCTTGAACTCTTGAGGTGAAACCATCCTCCTCCTTCAGCCTGTGCAATACCTAAGCACAGGTGCAAGCATCCATATTACAGGCATGAGATGCCTCACCTGGCCCAGAACTTAGTTTTTTACTGAAAAATATTCCCTTGTATGCATATACGATATTTATCCAGTCATCAGCTGATGGACTTTTGAACTGTTTCCACTTTTGTTTATTATGAATAAAGCTGCTATGAGCATTTTTGTACAAGATTGTGTAGATTTATGTTTTCATTTCTGCTTATACATGTAGGAGTATAATTTCTCGGTCAAAGTATAACTCTGTTTAATTTTTGAGAGGAATTACCAACCTGTTTTCCCTCTTCTTTTTTTTTTTTTTTTTTTTCAGAGACAGGGTCTCACTCTGTCAACAAGGCTGGAGTGCAGTGGCACAAACACCACTCACTGCAGCATCGACCTCCTGGACTCAAGTGACCCTCCAGTCTCAGCTCCCTAAGTAGCTGAGACTACAGGAACACGCCACCATGCCTGCAGAACTTTTTGTTTGTTTGTTTTTTATTTGTTTTGTTTTTATAGAGACAGGGTTTCATCATGTTGCCCAGGCTGCTCTCGAACTCCTGACCTCAGGCAATCTGCCCATCTTGGCCTCCCAATTGCTGGGATTCCAGGCATGAGACACCACACCTGGCCGCCAACCTATTTTCTAGAGTGGCTGCACCATTTCACATTCCCACCACCAGTGATGAGGGTTTTTTCCTCCATCCTTGCCAACACCTGTTCTTGTCTGTAGATTTTATCACATAAGGGTATAAGGTGGCATCTCATTGTGCGTTTGATTTGCCTTTCCCTAATGACTAATGGTATTGAGCATCATGTCATGTGATTATTAGCAATTTGTATATTATCTTTGGAGAAATGTCCATGCAAATTTTTCACTCATTTTTCACTTGGGTTATTTTCCTTTTGTTGAGTTGTAAGAGTTCCCTGTGTATTCTGATACAAGTCCCTTATGAGATAAACAAGTTGCCAGGTTTTTCTCCCATCCTATGGCTTGTCTTTTTACTTTCTGGGTGGTGTTCTTCGAAGTCAAAGTTTTAAATTTTGGTGAAGTCCAATTTTGTTTTTGTCACTTGTACTTTTTTTCTTTTTTGTTTTTTTTCTTTTCTTTTTCTTTTTTTTTTGAGACAGGGTCTCATTCTGTCACACAGGCTGGAGTGCAGTGGTGCAATCATGGCTTACTGCAGCCTAGAACTCCTCAGCTTAAGTGATCCTCCCTCGTCAGCCTCCAGAGTAGCTGGAGTAGCAGGGACTGAAGGCACACGCCACCACACCTAAATTTTTTATTTTGTTTTGTAGACACAGGGTCCCCTTATGCTGCCCAGACTGGTCCAAACTCCTGGGATCCTCCCGCTTTGGCCTCCCAAAGTGCTGGGATTACAGGTGTGACCCACCATGCTCGGCCACTTTTACTTTTGGTGTCATATTTAAGAAATCGTGGCCGGGCGCGGTGGCTCACGCTTGTAATCCTAGCACTTTGGGAGGCCAAGGCGGGCACATCACCTGAGGTCGGGAATTGGAGACCAGCCTGACCAACGTGGAGAAACCTCGTCTCTACTAAAAATACAAAATTAGCCAGGCATGGTGGCACATGCCTATAATCCCAGCTACTTGGGAGGCTGAGGCAGGAGAATTGCTTGAACCCATAAGGTAGAGCTTGTGGTGAGCCGAGATGGTGCCACTGCACTCCAGCCTGGGCAACAAGAGCAAAACTCCATCTAAAAAAAAAAAAATTGCTTCCTAATCCAAAGTCACAAAGACTTATCTACGTTTATCTATGTTTTCTTCAAAAAGCTTTATAGTTAGTTCTTATATTTAAGTCTTTGATGTATTTTGAATTAATTTTTGTGTACAGTGTGAGTAGTACCAGCTAGTCTGGAGACTAAGGTGGGAGGATCACTTGAGCCCAGGAAGTCCAGTCTAGAGTGAGCCATGATTGAGCCACTGCACTCCAGCCTGGATGACACAGTGGGACCCTGTCTCAAGGAAAAAAAAAAAAAAAGCTGGGTCTGATGGCTCATTCTCCTGCAATCCCAGCACTTTGTTAGGCCGAGGCAGGTAGAGCACTTAAGGCCAGGAGTCAAGACCAGCCTGGCCAACATGGGGTTTAGTAGAAACCCCGTCTCTACTAAAAATACAAAAATTAACCAGGAATGGTGGCATGCACTTGTCCCAGCTATGCAGGAGGCTGAGGCAGGAGAATTGCTTGAACCCCAGAGGTGGAGACTGCAGTGAGCAGAGATCACACCACTGCACTCCAGCCTCAGCAAGCATGAGAAACAGAATAAATAAAAAGTTTTAAAATTTTTATATAGGTCCCATTTTGATCTTTTCCCTGGGTTTATTAACTGCATATGCACGTTGCTGGAGTTCAATTTTATAATTTAATCTTCAACAGAATATTTGGTGGACCCATGATTGATTTTGTGGAGTCATTAACATGGTCAGTGATGTATACAATAACTGTTGGAACTGTGCGTCTCCTATTCTGCATAGAGGGTGCCAACTTCTTCAGATACAAGGAAGAAAGCTGTGTTTTGTTTAATAGAAACAAAAAGTTGTCACATAGTTTCATATAAGTCCTAATAAGTGTTGAAGGGTGCAGATGGAAACTCAGGAGTCAAAAGGTGGATGGCTGTCCCTTTCCTTTCTCTTTGCAGGTGCATGAATTTACTTTCTTAGGGGCAGAGCCTGTTGGAGACG